AAAAAAAAAAAAAAAAAAAAAAAACGCTGTGGAAAGAGGGGAGGCAGTCAGGTTGCATGCTGGGATGGCACACTTTTAGAGAATGGATTTGGCAGGATGCGTTTAGCAATCAAAATGGAAGGAACGAATTTGACACTGGAGGCCATGATGTAGGGCACCTAAAATTTGGAGTTTTCAAGACCTTCATCGATCCGACAGCACTTTTGGTGGTGGGCAAAACTGCCCTGCCGGAGGGTAGGGCAGTCTTCTGAATGGCGGAACAGTGTATTCTTGCTTTTTTTTTATTTTTAAAAGGTCTCTTTATTATTAGGGCCCAGTGCCCAAGGCAATATACAAAAAATTATGAAGGTTTCAGATTCAGGGGCCACAAGGTCTCCACGAACTTCTCTGTGAGGTGGAGCCCCTCCCCTGTAGCCAGAGATGAGTATAAGCCTTGAGATGAAACAACCTAGACCAATAAAAAAAATTAGGAAAAATCTTGCAAAAGAAAAACAGCACTACGTACTAAAAAGCCTACACACGCCTACAAAAACAACCAATTAAACAACAACTAATAAAACAACTATTTTAAAAAGATCACAATTTGCTAAACAAAGAACAATGTCTGAACAATGTCTGTAAAATTTAAACCTCATCACTTGCGGTCTGCAAAAAAGACCCAAAAAGGAAGTCTCCTGTGCATGTATCTATAGTGACAAGCGCAGGGCAGGAGACCCAATGCTTTTGGAACCAGGAACCAGGAAACGCCTGCACGCAAACTCATCGGTTTTCCCAATCTGTGTTTCCAGTCCAGATAGAAGATATGGCGCAGACCTCTTTTGATCCTATGAAGCATCTGTTGTGTCGAGGGCGATTCCTTGGACCGCACCACGTCATTTCTTTGTCTCCATAGATGCCAAAGCACTGTTGCTACAAAGGGATTCATAGACATTTGCCTGGGGCTTCGAAAGCTGCAGCACTATTGTACCCAGTAAAATGGATACATTTGACCAAGTATCTCCCCATTGCTGTGGCCCAGATATCTTTAGCATTTTTGCATGAGATCCAGATGTGTTGTCCTCCACAAGGTGGGGGATTAAGCATGCTTTGCAGAAAGGTGTACCCTGTTTTCGACGACGATACAGAAAAGCAGCAGTAGGGATAGCATTGTGCACTATTTGCCATAGCAGACCGGCGTGCTTTGCCACTCGCAGAGAGGGGAGCAATCGCCAAAAAATCGTTAGTTGGTCGATGTGTATATCGATTCCAAGAACATGCCGTTTTTTGACTATGGTCCAATCCACGTCTACATCCGG